TTTTATACCCATAAGTATCATAAATTGAAGAATATTTTTGGAATAAAAAAATTGATTAAACATTTCATTAATATTTTAAAATATTTTTAAAACAAGAAACTCCAAAAAAGGGATGATCCTATGATCCTTTTTTGTGGATCCGTCAATAGATATGTATCTATCTATTTATAAATTTATAGATATTTTAGCAAAATCGGTCTTTCCGTGTAATTTCGAAGCATTAATAGTTCGGTTATCGCGGAAATCTCTTTCTTCGCAAAAGTAGTTAGAAGTAAAACAACGTTCTATGCATAGTCTTGACCAATGCATATTTTCAAGTTCGACACAACGTTCAAGAAAAGAAGTTAACCAACTACTTTACGAGCGAGAAGGAGGGAAAGAGAAAGGACGCGTCCCTTTCTGCAATTCGTATATCTTCCGAGGTATCCGCGAATCTGGGATGCACGACGACAAAAGTTCGTGCGGCGCGGACACGCCGTGCCGCGAGCTTACGATGAAAATTCAGGTACGAGCGATCGTTGAAGCCCTGGTTGTCTCGAACTTTCGAAAACCCGTTTAGGAAAGGCACACCCTGGGAAACTTATCCTATTACGAGTTTCTCCCGACGAGAGAAAGGTTTACGAAGTCGCTGCACGGGCGAATCGTGCATTTTGTACGGCATGACGTCGCGCGCGTCGCGTCACCTTCCGATCGCAGGGAGAAGCGTCGAATTTACACCGACACACAATGTAATGCATCTCCTTTTCTCTCTCTCTCTCTTCTCTCTCCTTTTCTCTCTTTCTCTCTCTCTCTCTCTCTCTCTCTCTCTCTCTCTCTTTCTCTTCCTCACGATATTCTATTAATTATTTCCAATAACATTCCGCATTTATGAATATAATATTCTCCATATTGAAAAAACGATATATATGTTTCGCTGATTTTAATGCCGCACGTGCGTTTTTCATTATAATTATTTAAAATGAAAAAGAATCACACGTAGAAGAATTAGCATCGTTATATTATATACATTGTGTTGTTGCAATAATATACGCTGAAATAAAACAGCGCAGTCTTTCAGCCGTATGTTTCAGTTTGGAATGGATAATTTCTTTTCATATAATTTACAATACGGTAACAAAAGATTTTTTTCAATCATCAATTAAAGCATGATTGTTGAGAAAGATTGTTGTGTGTTAATTTAATTACTCTTCTGGTAGCAGAAGGATTAATTCCCGTTGGTTTATCACTCGCTTTAACGATGCGGGAAGACCGCAAGTAATAAAAATATAATCGAAACGAGTATAAACGTTGATAGTAAACTGTACATGGAGGGATCGCGATAATTGGTAATACCGAATACGTTTGCATAGCATTTCACGAAGCATGAAATGCCCATCTCGATGTTTGCTTAATTGTCATGTAATATAACGTGACCATGCGGCGAACGTACGAAACATATGGGCGATTCGTATGACTTCATGATTATGTAAACGAAAATGAATATTTAATTATATAGACATAATTCAGTAGGACGCGGATGTGCCCTCATTGATGTTTCATTTAAATTGCAAAGCGTAGTATGTGTTTTGACACATTGGATGTCGAATTAACATGTGAAAATTTCGATCTTCAGTCTTTAGGCTTTCGGCATATCATCTAATTTCCAGATTTAGAGTTTCCTCCCAACAAGATTCTTCATCACGCAAACAATTATTGCTATCATGGTAACCTCCCGATCGATGAATCTTTCCGCATCGTCGATCAAATCTTCTTGATCATCAAAGAATTAATAAATTCCGAGCGATCGTGATGATCCGCAATCTACCATCATACGTTCATTATTCTGGTTTTCCTTGCAGATTAAAAGTGATCTTGCTTCGAAGGCGACTCGATAATCACGTGCCATATAATTTACGATCGACAACCGCGCAAGTAAACGAGCGCGCAGTTAACGGAATAGTCGCGCTACATCGTGATAGTCTTAGAAGGATTTTGCAAAAAGATAAAGCTAACAAAAGTTTCACGATTTCTTTCATTACACTATCGAGAAGAATAATAGCGTAGTAAAACATTTGTATACGTTATGTAATAATCCAAATATATAAAACTAAATTTTACATTATATTATAATGTTTAGTATCTGTATTTATGAATATAAACAAGTATAGTTTTTTATTTGCAAAATAATTTTCTCTAAAGGAATGTATAAAATGGAAACTTTTTGTCGCCGTTGTACTGAACGAGAAAAGCGGAAAGCTGAATAATTGTATCTGTAACGAATATCGCACTTTAACATCGCGAGATCAAAGGAATTTTTTTGTACAAACTGAAATATCTGGAAGGACACTTTCCAACGAGTCTCGTATAAATTGTGTCCGGAGAATGCCGTACGCGTGTGTCGCGAGGATATTTACGGGAGACTCGCGCTCGTACGTCTTATCGACGTGGAAGCGTGAGAGTCTCTTGAGAGCGAAAAAATTCGCGAAGAAACGCGACTCGCATTACTGAGATATTGCAACGAAAGTTTTCCGTTCAACTAAATGAAAGAGATGACTGTGAGAAAAAATTTTTTTCACAATCAATTGAAAAATGTTTAGTTGAAGTATAAAAAAACTAATATTTTTATCGTAGGGCTTTTTTGTCCATTTCGCGATAATATTCATATTTCTGAACATTATTGATTATCTAAAGTACATTATTGATTATCTAAAGGTTGTGCTTGCGCACTCTCAAGAAGCAATTATGATTGTATAATGTAATTACAAGCATACTTACAAAGAGATATTGTTTGCTATCGTAAATTTTCCTATTACTTTAAAGTTGAAACTGACGGAATAATCTCTACCCTACAAGATTTCTCGCGCTACTTTGCTGTAAAGTTTAGAATTCTTTATAAAAGACATTCTTGTTAAAGAAATCCTATAAATTCGTGCGGCATTTCTAATAGTTGGAAAATTGAATTGTGCGAGCCTCGACATAATTTCAAATTGTACTGAAAAATAAATAGATTACGTAACGGTTTACGTTCGTCCTAATTCGCAGCTATGCCATTTCGGTCATTTCCTAATAACTGACGGTAAATTGCACATGTCAATAAGCATCTGACCGCAGTTTGATCACTTTATTAGTCTTGCAGTCGATGTGGACCGCGGCTTCTGGGGATGTTTATGTGGGCATATAGGGATAGTTTCGCCTAAGCGAACATGTATGTAAATCGCTTACAACATGCACCCTATGTTTAGCTAGTATTTAGCTGTATTTAGCTTAGATGTACATGATCTAACGACGCGCGTAAACGCCCGCTAAAACTAGTGTTATGTTTAATCATCGCGTGTAACAGAGTCTTGTCGACGGTCCCATCAAAAACATAACTATCCTTCATTAGTTCAGTGTGTTCGTACATATAGTCTGCGTAATGCGAAAACTCAAGAGACAATCTTCAAGATTAAGACGGCTTATAAAAATCCTGTCGCTTCGCAGTGTGTCAATTGCTTTAATATCTTCGCGTAACCTTGGCATTATCTTCCAACTATAATGAATAATGAACTAAAAGTTGACATGTGAAGTCACGTGGAATAAAAGTGACAGATGAGCTATTGAAGATATCGTTAATGGGAAACTTACCGACGTCGCGTCTGGTTTTTTCAACATATAAAATGTCCAATCTTTGATAATGCCTCTAAACGCAATTTTTCGTGCTAACATTCATTATTAAATCATCTACATTTTTAAAAATTACCGTTAAATTCATAATTGCATAATTTTATGACTCTGTTCTTTTGTGTAATTCATACTTTAAACGAGATCTCATTTAACATGTTATTAAAAATTACATTATCCGTGTAAACTTATCATGCAATATCAATAAATCAGTACCGATAATAAATTAAATACACAGATTACAGAGATATCTCCATAACTTCGGAATTAACTCTTACTAGTAAAAATTTGTTAAAGCTTTTCACAAGTATGTAAGAATTTTTTCAGTTTTTTTATACCGTCTGAAACATACAATTTAAAAATCTACTGAAGTTTAAAGACCCGAGTATGCAGGACAAAGGGTGAAAATTTTCCCGACAGATTAATGCCTGAAAAAACGTATTGTTGATACAACATACGAAATGTGTTATAAATGTAATTTATAATTTTCATTATGAGAATTGAAAAGTAAATTGGCTGACTTTTTAAAAAATTTAACCAGTCGTTATTTGAAATTTTTGTAAAATTTATAAAAAGGTTCGCAACAAAGTGAACAGCTATAAACTGAATGTAAAAAGGAATTTCATTTTTTTTAAATGAAAGAGCAATATTTCGTGATTGCCAATAACCGATAAAGTCGTTGCGTCGATTAAATTCCTAGCAAAGCCGGGTAGTGTTTCAATAATCCATGGCTCGCTAGCATTAACAATTCTAGCTGTGCTTCTCCGTCATTAGTAAGCTATTCAAGTTATAAGGCGAATTTGACTAATCGAAAGGATGATGATTCAGCAAATTCTGAATTGCGAGAAATCTATTTCGAAACGGAAGGAACAGAAATCTTGGTACCGTGATCAACGATAATAATTATCGTAATAGTGATAATTATTATCATTCCGTTAATGGAATCGTTTATTGGCACGTCTTTTAACTTCGCGTTATTATATGAGATATTATATTTCACAGATCGGTTCTGAAATAAAAGATATTTCAAACTCGACATATTCTTCTTCGAGCTTTAATTCGTAATATAGTTCATGGTAACTTAGTATCATATGACGAAAATTTAATAGAATCTAATGTTACTTGCAAAGTAATATATATCAAATATGCATGGATTAAAAAGTTATAATCCTATAGCAAACTAGTTTTAAAGATGGAGACAAAGTTGACGGTTTCGTAAACTTCGATAATGACGTCGTGATGACATCGATCAATGCAAGAAAGTGGGTCAAGTACACGAACGGAAAGTTAAGGATTAATTTGCATACTTTTCTTATCTAAACGCACCTCATTGTAATTTTAATTTTATATTAACATAAACGAATTATACTGCAGCAAGCTCGGATACGCTTTATCTTTTTTTTTTTTTGAGACGTGCGACAAACGTGCGACAAACTCCTAAAATCAAAGACTAACGTAGCCTACGTAAGATTATTTGAATATATTCTTCTATCGTAAAATATGGTGAAATCTTGAAGAGTCACTGTGGAGAAAATAACTGATTGTGGGAAACTCGACGGATCCAACCAAATTTTGTCAACGACATTCATTAGCGAGAATGCAGCTTGAATTTGATTGCCGCCAAAGCCGCACTTGTTATGCCACGCATAGAACCATCGTCGTGCGTGTTCATGGCATATCACCGTTGTTAGACCTCGACCTTAAAAAGCAACCACCTTGCGATTACGATGAGTTGATCGTTACCTCGAACATTTTCGAGGAACGTTCAGTAGGAATCATGTCATCGTCGTCGTTATCAATAATGATATGTTTTTCAAATAATGATACGAGTGGAAATACGATAGTTAGCAATAAACAAGCAATTTAAACAGTTCAACTTCAAGTTTACGTAAGAACTTAGTCCAACAAGAGATCACTCTATATTTTCTCATATTTCTATTCTTCGCTTATCAAATAAAATCCGATGTGTTTTGAAATGGTGATTGATTCTATTCAAAATTAAGTAAAATATAAGTAAACTTTTATCTTTTTTAATAAAAATACGGAAGTTTTCGCAGAACTTCAAAAAATTTTTTGATTTATATCTTATAAGAGAGACACTACGATCAAATTTCATTAGTTTATCATCCGAAGGAGATTTATGTTAATATTTTTAAAAATAATATATCGAAAATATAAAGACTCCAGATTAGACTTCAGATAAAACAAAAGACTATAAGCCAAGCTAAGTTTTAATGTGTACTCATATAACGATGAAATTATATTACATAAACATATAACATGATAATAATATGTAAAGGATCATGACAAACGTCAATCTTTATTAAATCATCTTCAATGTTAAAATAATAAAATAATAAGATTATGAAATATGATATAATATTCTAATTACAATGATCGTTGTAGATACAATTTTGTTTGCAGATAAAATGTTATAAAAAATCTAACTTGACTGATAGTTGTTTGTTTAATGTTTAAGTTACAAGTTTACTTTTCCAAAAATATCATCTTTCAGATAATTGTCACATTTTTTTACCTTCAAAATTTCCATCTTTTATCTTTCTGAAACTTACAATCTGAGACTTACAGTCTGAGACTTACAAATTTTATTACTAATTTTTCGTCGAGATGATCTTTTTTTCTTAATTTTAGAATTAAATAAATTTTTAAATAATTTTTTACAATAGTTATTAATTAATTAAACAATTAAACTAATTAATTAAACTAAATTAATTAATTTTTTTTATCAATTAAGATAAAATAAATAATTTTGTAAATATAATAAATCCAAATTAAATTTTATAATATAATTACAAATGTACAAAGTTAAATAGTGATCTTATAAATTAATATCCTTTTATGCAATCACCACTATTGAAATATTTTTATATTAATTTCTAAATTAAATTAAAAAAAATATTGCTGACATCTGACGATTTTTGCCAACATATTGAAAACTTTTTTCATTTCAACTGAAAGTAACCAGATATTAGACAAGAATTTCACATCAATGACGTTCTTTGAACACTTCATAGAAGCAAACTCACCGTAGATTAGAAACCACCGATGTATATTGTCCTTCGATCTTGACGAGCCCGACATTTTGCAATATTAAACCAGTAATCAGCATACCAATCAAGGCCGGAAGGGTGGTCAAAGAGAACAACCAACCTCCGAAATACGCAGCGATGCACACAACGGCCAATCCAAATAGCTGGCCACCTGGGGCGGCGTCATTGCCGATTATCGAGTAAATGACACCCCAGAGCAATAGACCCAAAAGAAAGAGGCACACAATTCGAGCGAATTTTCTGTACGTTGGACAGAACGGCTGTGGGCATGCTTTCCTCCATCCCGGTGGCTCCCACGATGGTGTGTCGTCGAGACCGTGACATCGCGTGCAAAATAGATACAGCCACGATCTGAAATAGATATAAACGAGGAGAAGAGCATAATAGAATAAAAATGCGACGGACCTATTGAAATTGAATAATAATATTCATTTCGTTTTTTTTTTTGAGGCGCTTTCTAATTTCCAATTTGGGGATCGATGGTTTAAACATATTTTTTTTTGTTTCAAACATATTATTAAAAACAATTAATGTCTAAGTAAAATATTCAGTAGTTTTTTAAATAGTAAAAATAATTATCTGTAAATAGTAGAATTACATAATGGAAATGAATCAGTTCGATTGCATGCAATAGATAATGCGTGTAAAGGAAAACGATCGTCTACTTTTGATAAGAATAAAGATAAGAGTAAAAATGTGAAACAAATGAAAAAAATTAATTTGTTCTACATACTATCAGTCCTGAGAAAAATTCAACAGAATTATTTATTTAAAGGATGTAAAAAAATATGTAACTTTGTTAAAAAGATCTATAAAAATACTAATTAATTTAATATATTTCTAATACATTTTAATCTAATATATTTTATTTACTATAATATATATATATATATACATTCCCTAACATTACACATTATGTCGTTTGCAACAACAAATTCAAACCTTTTGTATAAAATTGTATTTTTCAGTGCATTCCAATAGTATTTTAAATTTTATAATATTGCATTTAAAATTTTTTATGACAATTTTATGCAAAACATTTTGTGCACTTTTTAGAGAACAAAATTAATTGTTTCCAACTTAAAACAATACATTGGTATGTATTGAAATTAAAAAAAAACAATACTAACTTGTCACAATAACTGAATAATATATAAAATACATATAAATTACATAAATATAAATGATATATTTTACCAGAAAAATCTCAATTAAAATAAAAATATTTTTTAATTATATGAACAAAACAGTTTAGTATTTTTAGCAAAAATGTTAAATTGATGAATAAAAATCGCGTTAAAGAGCTGTCGTGTAATATAATCTTCATTTAATATATCATTGTATTATATTCGCAGTTTGCGAATTACAAACAAGTTTGCTTGGATTAATGTCTTCAAGTATGAGCGTCAATAGCTTCAATCTACTCTGCAATATCTACTGGTTTATCTGCAGAGATAATTTGTAACTGTTAAACTAACTTAGATTTCAATGTGATACTAACGATTATTACAGTTATGTGTATTTGACTGTGTCATTGTCGAGCAATATAATGGTTAATTTGATGTATAGCTTTACATGGCAGTGTATTAAAGTTCATTATATTGCATTATGTTACGCATGGTAATTTCGGATTAACAAATTCATATTATACAATAGAAAGTGTATATATTATAATTTATGTCATACTCATTTATAAGTCATAAAAAATTAATAATTTATGAACTATAATCAATAATTTATTTGCTGCATATTTTGAGGAAAATACTTTTTCGTATTCATACTCCATTATTCTGTTTATCTATGAATAACTGTGTAATTGAATTCCCAATTAATTTCTTGCTATATCAGATAAATTTCATGCAAAATTTATTTAAAAAATCATTGAAAAGAAAATACGATAATTCTGAAACACATTATATACTGCTTTATAGGAAATCGAAGAGCATCTTATAAATATTGATATTAAACTATATTTTAATTTTTTCGTATTAATTAAAGATATTTTCTTCTTTCCAGATATTTTCTCGCAAAAGCATAACTTATGATTAACAAATTTTTTAATATAAAGAGATTTAATATAAAGCTAGAATTATTCAAACAATGACGTAACGTTACAGATAGATAGAGCTGTCAAATTATATTTTAAAACTATTTGAATAATGCAATCTTTATATTAAAAGATTTATACATACATGTATGTATAAATATGTGTGTGTGTGTGTGTGTGTGTGTGTGTGTGCGTGTGTAAAATGTTTATATTAAAAAATCTGCAAGTCATGCTTTTACGAGAAAGTATCTTGTTTGAAAATCTACATAACTTGTTCAAAATGACTACGCCCTCGGGAAGCAGACAAGAGAAGACCTTTAAATTTTTGTGTAGATAACTGCTATCAAGAAAAAAATAGACCATGGGATAATTCATGATGTAGGATATATTAGTTATACAAATAATTTTGTCAGCCTCGTCGATTTGAGATTTGAAAAATCAACTAATAAATCAACATTTCCTTTGAGTTCTGAATTATGTAACACAAAAAGCGATGAAGTAAAAACGATGACGATAATTAGAATAAATTTGACTTATGTGACGTATATTTGATGTATATGATATTCAAGATTATTAAAAATATTACAAAAGTTCTAAAAATTGTTTTCTCTCTCAATAAATTACATTACACTTTTAATAAATATTATTTACAGGTTATCGATATTAAATAATTTTATCACTGAAAGAAACGTTACGGAAGCAAGAATGACGAATAAAATCTGAAAAGAATTCATTTTATCGGTCTTTTGGAACGATAAGCAACAAAATGCTTTGCGTCAATCGAAATATGTACACTATTATTTGCAATCTGAATTAAAATCTAGCTAAATTCTAAGCTAAAATTTCACCTGATAAAATGGAATGTAAAGAAGTCTCATTTAATTTGCAACGGTATGACAAAAAGAAGCCATATTGTAAACATAACTTATTGTCATCTATTATCGAGGAGATGTTTATCTTTGTCGCAACGTGATTTATTATCACTAACCGTGCAAGTAAATATATTTTCGAATGACGTACACTCGCACTGTTTGCATAGTTTTTTTCAAATAAAACGATTATAGATTTATCGCTCTGATATGATCGACAAAAATATTAAGAGACATTTAATCTAGGTCAATCTGAATCTTAAAAAAAATCCAGACGTGCGTTTATTACCTCGGAAGTATCAGCAAATAGATTTTGCGGAACTTACCGAGAGATAATCAGGTCTCACCTCTTGAGTTCCTCGGAATATTCGATTTTATCTCTGATTGAGCTGGACAGACTATACGCCGATTTTTTTCTGTTACCGTTGATCCTGCCGTTTTCCAGATCAAATTTGTATTGCGGAATATTCTCCACACTGTCGCAGTGGCTGCCACCGTGATGCAGGATCGACTTCCGCCTGCCCTGATCTGAATTGTGCTCCGAACCCGCGCTGATGCGCCGGTGATGTTCAAAGGCAAGATTATCAAGCCCAATGACTTGGTCGCTGATCGACACTCGTCTCTTCGCCAATTCTTCGCTGGGTTTATTCGTCCTACCGCTCATCTCGATGTCCATTTTTCACGAACAATTATCGCTAAAAATTCTCTGACGGAACATCAGCCGATAGTACGAATCCAGAAGTTCAGTCTTCTCCTCTTTGTATACTGTATATCTTCTATTTTAATTTTCTTTAATATAAAATACAGAGACCGCGCACGCAAATCAAGCGATCATTTCAGCGTCTCACCTATCTGATCAGAAGATCACAAATCTCGTAAACAGATTCGCCTCCTCGTATCTGTCAAACTGCGGTACACGTATTGATATGGATTCACTCGCGCTATTGATTGTAATCGAGAAAGGCTGTAGTCGTGCGCGGTCGCTGAACGTACTGCGACTATCACGGATCACGCGTTCGTCACGACAATCATTAACGGATGAGTCTCGTGACGAGATTTCGCCGCGACAGGGATAGGAATGGCAATCAGCGGCCGACGCTAATGTGTTGTGACGATTGACGTCTTTGACACCTTGGTCCGTTTTTACCAGATCGTTTCTTCTGAGTATCTTCTTTTCGACTATATCCAAGTGAAACTTTGCTTTCCTCGTTAATGTTGACGTTAACAAGTGTTAGCGTTAATAAACGCCATTCTTAAGACGGGTCACCATTTGTCCACAAGATTAAACTTTTCTATTGATGTTTTCCAAGAGTCGCCAAACCGATCAGATTGGATAGGATCAATTCACGCGACTGGTTGTTCACGTCGACGTGGAAATGCAGCGAGCGTTTCCGCGCGATCTCGGTCGCGCTTGGCGCAATTGGTGCATCTCGCTTGCGTTTTATGCTTTAGTGTAATTTAGATTTTTAACGGAGTCCCCTTCGACCGGACAAAAAGACGAGTGCGACGAACGTACAGGTCGTCACAAGTACGATGGCACAAGTACGATGGCATGGATAACCAGTGACTAAAAGCGACAATGCGAGTAAGCGGTGATGTTTATGCGGATGGGTAGTGGGGCTCGTAAAAAGTGCTCGAACCGCGGACGAATGAGCACGGACAGTCACGGTGGCCTATGACGATAATTGTCGCGCAATGCACACAGGATGGGCACAGCTGACTACCTCATTGACGAGGCGGCAATGGTCCGCTGCGCTTCTGTCGCAGCTCGCGTCCCTGTCTCACGACACTGCCGAATCCGGCATTGATCGACACTTCAGGGTCTTATTTTCAAAAAATATCACGTACGAGGACACTACTCTCTAAAATCTTTGGAGTGGAATCTAATTCTAAAGAGTGAAGAAGAGCGACAATTGAGCCCGTGTTGAAAAAGAGCGGCTCAATTGTCAATTTCTAAGAGTAATATTTCGTTCTTTAGAATTAGATTCCACACTTCAAAGATTTTAGAGAGTTAGGAAATCTATAATATATGTAACTTATACTATAGTACATTTTCGTACATTTTTGTATGCGATAATTTTCGAGAATAAGACCTCGAATCGAAAATTTTTATCACGCACGTTCCTGAATCTTGCGGAATCATTGCGATTGAAAACACGAGGAATAAACCCTTTGGAAAATTTCGAGCTCTCGAGGTATTAACGATGGATATTGCTCGAGTGTCATCTAGTTAGCGGACTAATTTTCATTTGCCCGATACTCCGCATCGACAACTTTCGCAGTTTTCCCTCTCCGTTTCTCAAGAGGAGAGTTGCTTGATACGAGTTCTGCACGGAAAAAAAAGGGTGGGAAATTGCCTTAAATTAATCGCGGATGTTACTAATAATTTACTACATTGCCGTATATCACACGTTGTAAGCATCATTGTCTATTATGTATCAAAGTATTACGGAATTGAAATGGAATTTTTGATCCCAGGCTTATCCCTCGTCAGAACACATGACAGCTCGAAACGGTCTTTTGTGACAATTTTAACAACAGTCGCTTATTTTAGGCGTCCTCCGAAATACTGGAGAACGATAAAAAACATGGACATCGCATCGACCTGCTGTGTCCGAGCATTTACCTAAATCATAATGGAGCACATAAACAATACGTGCAATATACAGTTGGAAAATTGTGCTAAATTTAACACATTTCACATATCCCAACAATGCATTTAAATTTTTGTTTTAACTTAACACAAAATGTATATGTTAGAAAGTTATATGTTATATGTTAGAAATGTTATGTTAGAAATGTATATGTTAGAAAATACAAATATTATATTATATTATAATAATATATTATAAAAAATTAATACAAAAAATGTAACATTAACACAATTTATAAGCAACAATATTTCTTTATCAAAATTAATATTCATAATATGTTAAATTATCACATTTTATCCAATTATCTTAAAATTTATGTTTAAAAAATCATTTTATATTATTTTTTCACTTACTCATAATTTTTATGTTATTTTAACAAAAGATGTTGAATATCAATTTATCATGAAATATTCAAATAACACAATCACATTATGTTAAATTAACATTTGGAAATATTAAAAATTTGACATAAAATTTTAACGACTTGAGTAAATCATTTTTAATACAGAATGCTTTTTACTATGTAACGTTGCGCCAGATCATCTATTTCGAAAGCGTCATCGCGATCACAGCTTCAATCTCAGCCCACACAGTCTCAATGCTCGCGATCTTTGATCTCTTCCGGGATGACCAATGTATTATGATAAAACTCGAAATTCGAATTAACAATTTTAATTAAGATTTGCATTCTTTATTGATTTTCTGGATTTTTCGCAATTCCGGTGTTCCTCCGATTTAACTGTGTGTGTGTGAGAGAGAGAGAGAGAGAGAGAGAGAGAGAGAGAGAGAGAGAGAGAGAGAGAGAGAGAGAGAGAGAGGAGGGGAAAGAGCGCAGATATATAGTAGGATTGCCAGAAAATTGGAAACCAAGAAAAAATCAAGAAAATTGAAAATGACCAGGGAAATCAGAGAAAAGTTAGAGAATTTTGCAAAATTGACTGAACATTTAAAATTCTTGATTTTAAAGAAATTTAACATACGTAGTGTTGGACTATTAATTTATTGAATGAAAGCGGTATCAGCAATATTAATCGTGATTTACATTGTTATATTAAATTGCTCTCTCAATAAAATATTTGACGATCCAAATCAGAATGAAAGTACAAAAAAATTTCAAAATATTATTGAAAGCATATCAGGGAAAATCAAATGAAATTTTGTTTGGAAATTAGAGAAAAGTTATGGAATTTTAGGATGAGGAATTTGTGACAATTTTGTATTGTATATGTACAAAATTATCACAAATTCCTACAAGAATAAACGCAACACAACTCTTTGATCGTGATCACTCACAAAACGATCTAATTATCCGTGAATCATCGAATGTATGTTCATCCGATCGACACGATTACCACGCGATTATTCTTTCCTTTGTATAGATCCATTCTTCCTCGTCGATCCACATTATCTATTGATCGACCTGCGCATACAATCTCTCTCTCTCTCTCTCTCTCTCTCTCTCTCTCTCTCTCTCTCTCTCTCTCTCTCTCT